CTTCCAGTTATTGTTTTATTTTGTTATTATGTTTAGATTTTTCGATTTTTCTCTCTTTTACTTCATTTTTTTACATCCTGAGCGTAAGCTAAGGAAGTATTGTAATCGATGTCATTTTGGTGGAGTTATAATGATTTTGAAATTGGTTCTTTCGCTACGTTTAACAACTGGACAACACATTCGTTATCAGAATATAAGCAGTAATAAAAAATTGTCATAGATTTGAAAACCCTACGTTCGCAGTTAATTTTAGGTCCTCTGATGTTTTATTTTCTGATAAATGTAAAAGAATGTTTTGTTGCTGAATTAACTTGAAAAAATCTTTTGAGGTTTTAGTGTTTTATTTTTTATAAATTTGAAAAAGTCTTGAGTGCCGCAGTTTTTTTTCAATTCGCGAAATTTTTGGGTACCCAAGGTGTATTATTTTGGGGAGCCCATGGAGATTCTTTTTTGTAAATTATTTAAAACAATTTTGGAGGATTTTGGTGTTCTATTTTTGGAAAATTCTAACCTGACCTGTTATTGAGTTAATTTTGGGTTTTTTTTTTGAAAACTTTGAAACGATCTTGGGGTTCTAGGTATTCCTGTTTGGAAAGCATTTAAAAATGCTTTGGAGCTTCTAGTGCCTTTTCTTCTAGATAATAATTTAATTTCTTAAAGGATACGTCATGTGCTAAAATCACTCTCATCTTAGCAAGTACTAGCCCCGCCCACCCCCCTCTCTTTTCTTAGAAGGTATCTCATTTGCCAAAATCACTTTTATCTTCGCAGGTACTAGCCCCGCCTCTCTTTTCTTAAAGGGTATGTCATTTGCCAATGTATATAAACCGGGCCTAGTTATCTCAAATTAGTTCAATAAAACATTCTGAGGTTGTTTCCCCTACTTATTTTTTTTTATTCATTTTCGCAACTAAATCTCCCAGTTATTGTTTTATTTTGTCATTATGTTTAGATTTTTCGATTTTTCTCTCTTTTACTTCCTTTTTTATTTCTGAGCGTAAACTAAGGAAGTATTGTAATCGATGTCATTTTGGTGGAGTTATAATGATTTTAAAATTGGTTCTTTTGCTACGTTTAACAACTGAACAACACAATCGTTATCAGAATATAACTAGTAATAAAAAATTGTCAAAGATTTGAAAACCCAACGTTCGCAGTTAATTTTAGGTCCTCTGATGTTTTATTTTCTGATAAATGTAAAGGAATCTGGTGTTTTGTTGCTGGATGAACTTGAAAAAATCTTTTGAGCTTTTGATGTTTTATTTTTTATGAATTTGAAAAAGTCTTGCGTGCCGCAGTTTTTTTTAATTCGCAAGATTTTTGGGTACCCATGGTCTATTATTTTGGGGAGATTCTTTGTTGTAAATTATTTAAAATAATTTTGGAGGACTTTAGTGTTCTATTTTTGGAAAATTCTAACCTGACCTGTTATTGAGTTAATTTTGGGTTTTTTTTTTGAAAACTTTAAAACGATCTTGGGGTTCTAGGTATTCCTGTTTGGAAAGAATTTAAAAATGCTTTGGAGCTTCTAGTGCCTTTTCTTATAAAAATTTAATTTCTTAAAGGATACGCCATTTGCTAAAATTACTCTTATCCTAGTAGGTACTAAGCCCCGCCCACCCACCCTCTCTATTCTTAGAGGGTATCTCATTTGCCAAAATCACTCTTATCTTAGCAGGTACTGGCCCCGCCCACCCACCCTCTCTTTTCTTAGAAGGTATCTCATTAGCCAAAATCACTTTTATCTTCGCAGGTACTAGCCCCGCCTCTCTTTTCTTAGAGGGTATGTCATTTGCCAATGTATATAAACCGGGCCTAGGTACTCAAATTACTCAAATTAGTTCAATAAAACATTTTGAGGTTGTTTCCCCTACTTATTTTTTTATTAATTTTCGCAACTAAATCTCCCAGTTATTGTTTTATTTTGTTATTATGTTTAGATTTTTCGATTTTTCTCTCTTTTACTTCCTTTTTTTACATCCTGAGCGTAAGCTAAGGAAGTATTGTAATCGATGTCATTTTGGTGGAGTTATAATGATTTTAAAATTGGTTCTTTTGCTACGTTTAACAACTGAACAACACAGTCGTTATCAGAATATAACTAGTAAAAAAAAATTGTTACAGATTTGAAAACCCTACGTTCGCAGTTAATTTTAGGTCCTCTGTTGTTTTATTTTCTGATGAATGTAAAGGAATCTGGTGTTTTGTTGCTGGATGAACTTGAAAAAATCTTTTGACCTTTTAGTGTTTTATTTTTTATGAATTTGAAAGTCTTGAGTGCCGCAGCATTTTTTAATTCGCGAGATTTTTTTAAACGATCTTGGGGTTCTAGGTATTCCTGTTTGGAAAGAATTTGAAAATGCTTTGGAGCTTCTAGTGCCTTTTCTTATAGATAATAATTTAATTTCTTAAAGGATACGTCATGTGCTAAAATCACTCTCATCTTAGTAAGTACTAGCCCCGCCCACCCACCCGCTCTATTCTTAGAGGGTATCTCATTTGCCAAAATCACTCTTATCATAGCAGGTACTAGCCCCGCCCACCCACCCGCTCTATTCTTAGAGGATATCTCATTTGCCAAAATCAGTTTTATCTTGGTAGTTTTCTTTGCATAACACGATTACTTAAGAACTAATTTCACATGGTAATTTTTCTTAGAAAAATAAGGATTTTACAATGAAACTTCGCCCCTCGGCTTACGACGAATAAAAAAATATCATCAGAATTGAGAGAGGGCGGGTGGGCGGGACTTATATTTTGGCTTTTTTTTGTGTGTTAGGAATATCGTGTAGATGGTAAAACGCTAACCAAAATTTGTCTAATCCTTCCCCCCAGCAGCAAGATGACGTCAATTGCAAAATTTGCATTAGTAAATATTATTTAAATTTTATAGTATAAGATACTCCTGCATATGTAGTTTATGAATCTGTGTTGAGTTTTTATTCATATTTTTAGAAAAAAAAACCAAATTTGCAATTTAATTTTGAAACTGTAAAACCCAATGCTCCGAAATTTTGCAATCGTTTTAAGGTTATAGGACATTGATAAATCGTTAATCAAGATTTGTTTCTCCAAAAAATGATGACGTCATGTCACTATTCTGTCGTATAAATGTTCTTTAAATTTTATAAAGTAACATGCTCCTACATGTGTGATTTATGAATCCGTGTTGAATTTTTACCTTTGGCATCCAGATTTTTTGAAGAAAAATCACAATTATATAACCAATATTTTACAATTTAACTTTGAATTTGCAAAAACTGAATGTTGTGAAGTCTTGAAAATATTTTAAAGTAAATCGTTAATCAAAACTTGTCCATCATCTTACAGTTGTGCCGAATTTAAGAGTTGAGGAGACAAAATTAATTAAACTTCATTTTCTTTTACCGCAGCTGCTTGTAATCGGAACGTGCTAATAGTCGAATTCTTTCGAAGTATAAATATAACGTGTCAAAGTTAAGCATGTACTGAGAAATATACTTCTGTTTATGCCTTATAGAGATCATCACAAAAAAAGAAAATCGCAAAATCAAATTTTATAATTTTTAAAGAAGCGTTGTCGTGATAACTCTGAAACATATGTTACAACCCTTCTAGAAAATTGGTGACGTCATGTCAAAAATTTGTCTATTATGTTATGCGCGTAGATCGTTTGCTTGTGTTTTTATTTTAAGTTAGCAGTAGATTTTAAACAGAAATTCATATATTTACCCCCACCAAAGTTTTAATGACGTCATTTCAAAAAATTATCAGTCGATTGTACTTTGAAAATTACGGGTACTAGTGGTACTTCAAGTCGATTCTAGATTTTTTGTGACTCTGTTTATAAATGTCATATATTGTTTACTAAGTAATAATTGAATTTGGTGCCACATGTTTAAAATCCAAATTCTGTCCGTATTATAGCACACTAGGAATCATGAAAAAAGAAATTCCACTAATTTACCGCAAACCACTACGCGGAAACAACAAATGTGTGTGGACGATATATAGCAAATTAATTCGTGCGCATTTTCAATGGAGCCTTATTTAATTACCCGAATTTGATCAATACCGAATCCTATACAAGTTGATTAAATTTATGAATGGCCACTGATACTGCGGCTACATGATTGAAGGTGGGATATAGTTACGTGTGAAAATTGAGGTTTCCTAAAACGTGCAAATTTGTTGAAAAACAGACACAAATGTTCCCTTCTGAACCCGTAGTAACACTATAGCGTTTATGGATCAAGGCAATATTTTATGTCAAATTTAAAACCAAATGTCAGTTTTATCGTCCATTTCACTTGAAACAAATAATAATAATAATAACAAAATAAAATTGTGTTTTGTTAGCAACCATTATAAATCGGTTATTGAAATACTGGCGTCAAATACGCTTGTCAGAAGGCAGTCATTTATAATTACAAGATTTGAGTAATTGCCCGTTGAAATGAAAACGAAGTAAATGAGTTGCCAATTCGTATTTAGAAAAAAGTTTCCACCCTCGGCCGAATCCGAGTTTTAAGGGCTGTTTATATTGTGGAGAAGAAAGTGTTTGTGTGTTACTTTCAGGAGGGTGAGTTTTTTGCGAGCGGCACACCGGCACTTAAATGTAACTGTTCAGTATATAAATATACATACAATGAGTAGAAGCTAGAAGGCAGCCATTTGACGTGATACGATTTGAGTAATCGTCCGTTTAAATGAAAATAAACATATACTTCGATATTTTGAAAAAGACGTTTCGCCCTTTGAATGCGACGTTTAAGTATGGTTAAATTGTGGGGAGGCGAGATTAATATGCGGAAGGGTGTTTTTTGTAGCGCGAGCGGCTCGCGTGTCGCGATTAACTGTCCCGAGGTGACCGGCGGTCGAATCCGGTCCCTTGGGTGACCGAGGGGTGCAGAACCATCGGCGAGCGGCCAGCACGTGCCCAGGAAGCTATATCACGTGGCAGCCCAAATGCAAATGAGCAACAAGTGGCGTCCGTCCGATCGGAAACGGAGGTAACTCACCGGTAGTAGGGAAAGGCTTGGGGCATGTGTAGGTCCATGGGGGCGGCCGGGTGGTGCGCGGCGCCGTAGCCGTGGTGGTCGCCGGCGGTCTGCATCATGGTCCCGGCAGCGGCCGCGGCGGCGGCGGCGGCTGCCGTGTGGTGGTGCCCCAAGACGGCCGCCCAGGGCGATGACGCGAACCCTCCGGGATGATCCAGCTCGAAGGCGCACCTCTCCACGACACTCAAGTGCATGCAGCCACAACACTACACTAACGGCATCCCGGTGCACCGTCACAGTCGTAGTAGCCGTCACACGTGCGTCGGCGAGCGCGGACACTCGGCCATTGATCGCGGACTCCTAGGAGTCCGCTCTGGACGTGAATGAGGAAAGAGTTAACGAAGGCGGGGTCGCGGGCTCGCGTGCGTGGCCACCGTCACGTGACGAGGCGGGAGGAGCCGCTGACTGGCTCCGGCGGCTAGCCCGCCTATCCGCGCTACTCCCACTCGAGGCGTGTTTGCGCCGAGACACCGATGCGAATACTACACCTAATTACCGCATCGGCTCACCTGTCGGACCAAGGTGCGAGCGCGAGGTGTATCGCGCTACCATTAGCGAACCCGAAACCGAACCGCACGACGGCCCTTCGCCCCTGCCCTATATCTTCCGTTTCGGTTCGAAACGACTCACTATCGCCCCTATCGATCAAGGCACGCGGCCTTCACACTACCGACTTACCCTTCGTTTATTTACTGGGGAAGGAAATTTGCTCATCAGGATAAAATTACACTGCCCTACTCTAATAACGCTACACATTACCACCATAAATCATTCGACCCTTAAAATTAGATACATACCTCTACATACAGGACAAACGTTCGCCGTTTCCTTATACCTCCTAAAAATCTATTCCGGTTGCCTGATAAGATCAACAACAAAGACAAACTTTTACAACATATATACTTAACAACAACACAAATTATAAATAAGTACATAATTTCAATACGATTTTAATCTTCAACTTAAAACACGTTAACTATGTAATATACCACCCACAGAACAGAATTTATAGCAGGAGTTTAAAACCACAGCCAACTCGTTTTTTTTCAACCTCACGGTACTGTTTTACTTCGGCGTAGGTCAGTAATGAGGAAGTCCGGGTGCACAGGGTTCAAGTATACTGTTTTAAACAACAATATACGAGCAACAATTAGAACTATAGTAAATTTAAAAACAAAGTATAATATATATCATTTTATAAGTTTAACCACATTGTCTGTAAGAAATTCTGGAATAGTTCAACGTTGTTGATATGCAATAAAAGTAGGACAAGCTCTAAAACGGAACCTTGTGGAATACCATACATTTTAAGGAAATATGCTATGAGTAATAATCACCATTTCTTTACCAAAATTAGAATTAAAAAAAAAATTGGTCGAAAGTTGTTTCGACAGAACTTCCCTGCCCATGAAACATAGTCCGACAAATCCCATTTGTTTAGAAATTCATAAAATTCTTTTTGTTCAGTGATATATCTCCATAAAGTAAAAACCAGTAGCGCTGAGGGGCAAATTCCAAAGGGGCGCGGTCCGCACAAGTGTGGACAACATGAAATATATTTAAAGCAGATAACCAACGCCTAAATTGTGGACATTCTCAATTTTTTAGTATGTACATTCTGAACTTCGACTGTTTATGTTTATGGTTGGAAAGAATTCGACTGTTAGCACGTTCAAATTACAAGCATTAGCAGAAAAGAAAATGAAATTTGGTTGATTTTGTCTCCCTTTGTCGTAGAAGGAAAGACGGTTTTTTCACAAAAACAAAAATTTGCAGAACATGTATTTGAGAAAATTGTAAGATGACGAACAAATTTTAATTTACAATTTACTATGCTTCCAATAACCTTAAACATTTTCAAGATTTTACAGCATTCGGTTTTTGCAATTTCAGACTTAAATTGTAAAATATTGTAATACAAGTTTGAATTTTATTTTACAAAAATCTGGACGCCCGGATTGCTCAACACGGATTCATAAATCACACATACAGAAGCATGTTATTGTATAAAATTTAAAAAGATTTATTCGGCACAATTGTAAGAGGACATTTTCTAATGCATATATAAAATTTGATAACAATCGCTTCAGTAGTTTCGAAGATTTTCTGTGTAATAAAAATCCGGACAAACGACATGAAACGTCGAAAAACGTAAAAGTCGTCAGTCGTCTTTACAATTCTACTTGTAAATTATTTTAAATATTTTTCCGAACTTACTATTAATTATTTTGAATATTGTATGTCATTCGAACGTAATACACAGAGAGGTATTAATTTAACTGTAAAAGTAGTTAGGTATATTATTCGTAAAAATTTAAATAAAAACACCACTGACACTGTTTCAGCAGTTGAAAAGTGACACAACTGCTTTCTACTGGGAATAATTACTACAATTACCTTCAAAGAATTGAATTAATGTTCGAATTGTTGACCATCACTCAAAATAGATTCTAAACTGTTACACCAAACAGGCCAATTTTGACGCTGAAGTTTTTTATTGCGTTTTTTATAAAATAAAAAAAGTCAATTTTTGTCTCAAGTTTTTTTAATGCATTTTTTTGACGTTCTACTTTTGTCGCATTTAAAGAGGTTGTAGAAGAAAAGTGGCGGATTTAAGTTGATTACTACAAAAATTTACCATTTTACACACGTTTTAAGTTTCTTGTCGAAATAAGTCTACACATATTAAGAAAAAAAGACAAAATGAAGCCCCGCCCACCCACCCAGTCTCAATTCTGATGATTTTTGTTATTCGTGTTTAGCCAAGCTTAACTGCACAATTCTTATTTCTCTACGAGAAATTAAAAAGATGTTTTTGAGTATCGTGTTGTTCAAAGAATACTAGTATGTATATTAAAAAAAATTAGAGCCAAATATTAAAACCCACCCATACCTGCCCTGATCGAAATATGTAGTGATGAACTTTTCATTCGTTGCCAGACCTAGAGGTGGAGCCTAATTGCAAAATCCACATTTCCCTACAAACATTTACCACTTTAAACGTCTTTTATGTTTCTATGAATAAAAAAATCTTTGGGTGGGTGGGCGGGGTATATATTTTGCCTTCTTGTCTTAATATACATAGTATTCTTTGAACAGCAAGATATTCAAAAATGTTTTTAATTTCTTGTAAAGAAATAAGTATTTGGCAGTTAAGTTTCGTCCCCTTGATTCACGGCGAATAAAAAAAATCATCACAATTGAGACATCAAAAAGGCAAAATGTAAGCCCGCCCACCCACTCTATCTCGATTGTGATGATTTTTTCATTCGTTGTCAGATCAAGGGGCGGGGTTTAATTGCAAAATCCACATTTGTCTACAAGAATTTACCATTTTAAACGTGTCTTAAGTATCTAAGAATAAAAAGATCATCACAATTGCGATAGGGTGGGTGGGCGGGAATTTTTTTTACAACACGGTACTGAAAAACATGTTTTTAATTTTTTGTAAAGAAATAAGTATTTTGCAGTTAAACGCTGCCCCCTTGGTACACGGCGAATAAAAAAATCATCACAAGTGAGATAGGGCGGATGGGCGGGTCGACTTTTCCTTTTTGTTTTAATATATGTAGACTTCTTTTCACAACATGAAACTTAAGTGTATATTAAGAAAACAAAGGCCAAATATAAGCCCCGCCCACCCGCCCTGTCTCAATTCTGATGATTTTTTTTTTATTCGTCGTAAGCTTAAGTGCAAAATCCTTATTCTTCTACGAGAAATTACCATATGAAATATGTCCTTAAGTAATCGTGTTATGCAAAGAAAACTAAATGTATTGATTATAAAAGTAAGCCAAAAGAGAAGCTCCACCCATCCGTCTCGATCTCAACTAATATGAATTTTTCATTCGTTGTCAGACCGAAGGGCGGAGCCTAAGTGCAAAATCCATATTTCCTACACTACGTTTCATGTTGTGAAAAGAAGTCTACATATATTAAAAAAAAGGCAAAATATAATACACTGTTGAGTGTATTTAATAAGAAATAAATTGTTCGAAAGTTATTTCGACAGAATTTCCCTCGCACTTGAAGTATAGCCAACGAATCCTGCTCATTTGAAAAATTATAAAATTTGATTTTGCCATTTTTGTTTTGTGATAACCTCTATAGTCACAGTAAAAGTGCGAACAATATGAGATATATTTTAAAGCTGATAACCAAAGGGAAACATGTTTTCTCAGTAGGGAAATGCGTAATTTCGACTGTTTATGTTTATATTCGAAAAAATTTTTCTATTAGCACGTTCGGATAACATGCTTCGTTGGCATTTGCGTTAAAAGAAAACGAAATTTCAATCCTTTTGTCTCTTCAACACACACGGTGTTATCCCAAAAACGATGTCTAGCGTAAACTCGCATAAATTTTAAGAACATTTGTTTTGTAAAGTTTGTAAAATTCAAGACAAATTTTTCATAGGAAGTGATTTCCACGTCATGGCAAAGGTATAAAAAAAAACACTTATAATTAAAATGAACATAAAATGGGCGACTAGGTTGTGTTATAGCTTCGACAAAAACATTCAACTGTACATTTATTGCCGTTCCAATAAAATTACGGTATATAATGTGTATGTTATTAGTAGTATAGCATGAAAAAAGTTGGGAGCTGTCTTATAACAGACTACTTTTCCTCAACGGAAACAATTTTGACCTTGGGCGTCGCGTTGAGTGACTTTGAGTCCAAAACGCAAATTTTTGCGGTTGAATTTACGGAATTTTATTTGGTTTTTGATTAAAGTAATGGTTAACCACAACAATGGAGATGAATTTAAAATAATATAAAGCGTATACGAAGTAAACGTCTATATTTAGTCATTAGGTGTCACGCGAGTGTAAGGTGCATGTACGAGTACCATCACGGTACTGTTCCAGGCAACCGTACGCTCTGATCAGTACTCACGGACAGGCATTCCTGCTACGCTTGATCGGATCCACTATGATTACTATCACACTACCAGTACAACTTATTATAGCTTCATTAGTTTTTATCGTCCGACACATCACGACACCTCGTTCTTCAATTGATATTTAAGTGGAAGTAGGTACGATAAGCAAAAATGAGCAGAGCACACATCCTAAGAGAATTCGCCAGCTGCTCGTAAATCAACGACGCGGTATAAAAACGTACACGCACATAAAAATATAATTTAATTTTATGAATGAAACCACTATTTTTATCTGGGTACGTACTCGGAGTGTGAGAGAATAGTTATATGAAGTTGATGTACGACAAATTATGGTCGTGGTCGAGGATGGGACATTTTTATCGTGTCATCTCAAACTTACGACAACTAACAAGCACAAAGAT